AGTATACTGTTATACAAATTCTTTTTTTTTTTTTTTTTAAATAGTACCATTTTCAGGGAAAAAAGTTGTTGTTTTTCCTATTCAAACTCAAACATCAACGATTATTCAAAAGCACCGCCACAAAAGGACAAAAGGTTAAAAATTAGCATCAGCAATGTTTTTGGAGCCTATTCAAATATATGACCCTCTCTCATGGGAGGACAGAAAGCAAAGTTTGAGAAAGTCTGATCTACTTACATCTGCTCATCAATTTCTCCAATCTGACGATCCAATCGTATCTCTTCATCCTCTTCTGCCACTATTGCTTCTGAAATCTAAATCAGAAAAGCTATAAGTAAATTTAGTCCCATTCAGTCTTCTTTTAGTGAAAAAAGCACTATGACTAAGAACAAGAGAGGATGGTATGTTGCAACAAAGTCAGTCTTCTGTAGATATGCTCCCTTCCCCCAGATAGAAGGTAATGTATAGAGAAAAAACAGGTTGTGATTCTGAGCTAACAATCATGGGTAAAGGGTATTTAAAAAAAAAAAAAAGAAAAAAAAATGCTACATTTTTTAAAAGTGAAAGCAGTTTACCCTCAAACAGCCTTTCTCCTTTTGAATTTTTTTAATTCAATAATATTGTTTTGATACAGAACTGAAAGTAGTACATATATCGAACGACTTAAGATGCAACAGACCAGGGGAAGAAAAGTTAGACAACAGACCTCTTACAAGTACTAGTTAATTATACCCACTGGATCCCAAAATATTTCTAACCTGTTATTTTTTTCAGCATATACTTTCTCAAATCTGAGTGCCTGGAAGATGCTATGCAACCAATGGTCCATGCATAACAGAAGATTCCTTCCATGCTGAAGAAGTTTATGAATGGCTATTGTTAACAAATATATCCACTATTGTTTCTGTATAAATGTTCACTTTGTCTATGATGTTGAGTGCTTTGAAGAGTAATGGTATATTGTTTAACAACAGTTTTCTTAGCAATATATGTATGATAACTTATTTTCAACCAGAAGTCTGCAAACATGATAAGTGAGAGTGCTGGTACTTATGACCACATCTTTACACTGGACCTCAGTAAGCAGCTGAAACCTCTATGGGTAGAGATTTCCAAACAACTATAACTACTAGGAAATGAGGGTGATGAAAATTGGGGCCAATCTGGATGTATATATGTAAAATTTTCCAAAACCAGATTATCCACATTTTTTGCAGCTCTTATAGGGGCTAGCATGTCTTAAGACAAACTATGTATTCAGAACGTTTAATTAAATGGTTTAATTAACTATTCTTAATTTAAGGGTTTAGTAGATTTAAGTGAAAAACTATCGAAGCAGAAGCTAAGAATATGGTCCAATGCTTCGATTTGGGAAGCCGAGAAGAGGTACCTACCATCTCATTTATGTCCAATTTAGCTAGATGTATCTGTCATCAAAATCTCTTTCTACTTAATTTCAAGTGGAAAACACAGGATATTCTTCATGCAGCTGTACAGTGAATTTAACAACAAGCACCTGTCAAATACAGTGTTACTCATTCTACTAATCTGCATGGAACAGTAGTTTTTCAATAGCGTACAGTACTTAGAAGCAATAAACATAGGTTCCATTACTTACTGTGTTGACCTGTCGCATTGCTTTCTGAAATTCATCCCATTCTTTATCCATCTGATCCTTTGGAGCATCAACCTTTCGCACCTATAGAACATGAGAAACCATGCTTATTTAGTGACCATTAATCTCTAACAAGTCTTGCTGGCACTGTAAAAAAGCAAAATAACAGGATATATATTTTGCAGTTTACTGGGAAGGTCTGAGCATGAAGGTACTCTTTGGCTTAAATAACCAACAGGATAGTGCAGGCAGGCATCTTTCATTGTTTTGGAGAGAAAAAAAAAAAACTTGTGCTGTCCTTGTGTAACATACAATGACAATATTGACTGCAGATACCTTCATTTAGAAAAGGCAGCCTGGAGTTAAACTGTTTTGAGCATCCCATTACTATTCTGAGTTACAGTTTGTGAACCACCAGCTGTCCAAATGATACCCACCCAGCAGCTTAATTCAGTTCTTGAGCTTTGAGGTATCTACCTTAAAACTACAGTAATTCCACTTACTGGCTTAACTGTTTCTCCCTTCCCTTCAAAATCAAAGCTCATTTTACTGGACATCATAAGGACCAAGACAGCTATGTACCACCTTAATGCCTATAATCCCACCTTTCCAACAGTACAGAGCAGGGGTGTCAAATACATGTCCTTGAGGTTAGATCCATTCCATCACGGTGCTCCATCTGGCAAGCTGAACAACTGGTGGGCCAGGGAATTTGGGGGCACAGCCTACCACAGAATTCAGGATCCTGCTAGATATGGCTGCTACCAGCAGATGGGCAGGCAATGACTGTGCTGACAGCCTCACTCACCCTGCAGCTGCTCAACCCATAGTTGCTTGCACCATTGGCTCCACTGCCATTGCTTTGCAGATCTAGCCCTGGACAAGGGGTGAGTTATACACCCTTGGTATACACATTAATTACTTACTCTGGAGGGCCATGATGGTTCCAAAAATGATGTTAGAACTGAAATGAAATAAAAGATCTGCCTCCAGGGAACAAATATGGAACACAGCTCTTCCTACGTAGAGGAGTATATAGGCTAAATTTAAGTGGGCAGATGCATGACTAGCAAATGAATCAGTCTGTCCTCATAACAGAAACTTACAAAGCTCAGGACCTTAGAACCTCATCAAGTGTTGTGACATAAATCATATGAGTTTGACATACGACAATCATAAGCCTGCGCTTAGGATGAGAGAGGGAGTTCAAGTGCTCTGAACAGAATAATATGCAAGGCTCTCTTTCTTATATTACTTTTTCTTTTTCCATTCCCTGTCTTTTGAGAATGTAAAAAAAGACAATGATCTCCATGCTTTATTTCTGACGGTTTATGCAATAATAGGAAATAAGATCTATTAAACGAAGAACTGTCAAAGCAAACTAGATGCTAGGAAATAACAGTTTCAACTTTCTCTTTTAGGTGGTTATTTCTACTATGCTTATACATACTGTGTAATGTATTGTAATTTTGTCTTTTGTAATTCATGGTTGTGTATTTCTTATAATAAAAAACTTACACTCTAAACAACTCAGAATCACTTTTCTTTGAAATATATACCTGATTCAACATTTTAAATATTTTAATAGGTTTGGGTATAAATACAGGCCACTTGCAGACTTTAACAGACACACTTTACCAGAAGATGCAGCAGGTTACTTCAACCCAGCTCTGCAGCATCCATATAGATCAGGTGCTTCAGTGGGGTTTTTTGGCACTTTCATCTAAAGCTGAGTCAACCAGCTATTATATAGCACCAAAAAAGCCCCACTAAAGCACCCGATCCGTACAGACGTTGGGTAAGTTGGCTCCAACTAACTTCTGGACATATGCTGGGCTTGGCACAGGAGCGCATGGAGTTTAAAGTAAAGCACTGAGGGGTTTTTTAGGTCTGCAAGTAGCCACAAATTTCAAAGACCTGACACTTTAAACACTCAAAAATGAGAGAAGTAGGCTGTGCCTTGTAACATTTTATCCAGCACAGAATAACTTTAGCTACATCCAAATTGACACATATCAATGTTGTGACAGTCTGCTGAAGTGGAATAGGTTGATGTACTACAGCAGTGTGATCCTGGCTATAAACAAATGGTCCTTGCACTAGTCCAGGTCCGTAAATTATGTTGTTATATGAACTGAATAGAGATCACTAAACTAGGTTTACACCTGTGCCCTGGCAGACTTTCCTGCTGGGAGCACATCCCCACAACCAGCAGAGCTCTACCTCCTCTTACACACTGCCAGCATACAACTAGAATCACAAGTCCCTTTGAGACCGTACCATCTATAATCCCAACCCCCTCATCTACATATAAGTACTAAGTGGGGGGGAGGGTGTCTAGATCCACACACACACCCCTCTTAAAGTCATTTTAAGTTTACCACAAGAGGCAAACACACTTCTCAGCTTAGTATAGGGATATGGTGCAGACAATATGATGCTCTTGCTAATCTTGTGGGTCCAGCAGAACTCATATAGAGCAGTAGGAAAAATACCAGTGACACTGATACTACTGTAGGTAAAAACAGATGTACAGTTGCACTAGCCAAATTTGAGACATCAGTGCCCAGTGCCCATTCCAGATATGTACATGCTGGGTTTTTGGTTGTAGCTGCGTTGGTCTAAGGACATAGGCAGGCAAGGTTCTTTGGGGAGATGTGATATCTTTTATTAGACCAACTGAGTAGTTGGAAAAAAGTTCTTTGCAACCGTTCAGGTGTAGCCACCCTTCTTCAGGCATAGGGAGTCTCTGCTGTTCTCCCTGATCTCAGAACAGCAAAATTCCCTATGCCTGAAAAAGGGTGATTGCATCTGAAAGCTTGCCAAGAACTTTTCCAACTACACAGTTGGTCTAATAAAAGATATGTACATGGTTACTTCACTTGTGGCACAAAATTCCAAAATTACTATACTGTAGTACAGGAATCTGTGACCTGCAAAGAATATTTTATAACCATTTCCCATTACATACTTCAAGATGAGGTATGCCCATTTCAGGGCACATGCCACCAACCAGCATATACAGTGTACTGGCAGCTGCAGAGAAAATAAAATGGGCACTGTCCAGTAAGAAAAAAGTGCGACTGAGGGAGTGTGTAAAGAAAAATTAAAGAACAGAATGCATTCTAGTGCAGTTCTATCATTCTTGGTCTGTTGTGCTAACACTCATTGCTCTTGTTGAGCATGACTATCAGAAAACATTGATCAACCAAACGGAGATACAGTATTTGCTTTAGTTACTGAGAAAAGGCTGTGTTTCTATGATGTGGTCTAATGTAAGCACTGCAAGAACATTCTAAGGCAAGTTCAACACTGATACTGATTTAACAGAAAAACAGAAAACAACCCTCCCCCTCCCAAAGAAACAGATACGTTAATGATTTTCAGCCCACCGCTCTGTTTGCCACTTTGACAAGACAACACTGGAAAAAAGAAGTATGCAATCTATCAAGTTTTTTTTAAAATCATCAGTTGTACAGAAAGAATAGTCTCTCAATAAGCAGTTTCTCTGTGGTTGATGCACCATTTTCATGCAAGCATAAAATGGTTTTATATATGACATGTTACCATCTGTTGTGTGATACTTGCATACAATGCACAACAAATGTAACAATTGCCAGAGGCCTTATTTTTGCTCCAGAAGACATTATAATGCAAATACTGTCAAGCACTTTTTCCGTCAGCAGATCTCAAAGCACTGTATGCAGTAAATATCACTGCCCTTGTCTGACAAAAGGGGTAAGTGAGGCACCATGCAATCAAGTTACTTACCAATGGCCAGCCAACAGGCAACACTAGAGCTGGGAACATAACCCAGAACTCCTGAGTTTCAGTGCTTCCTGCTTCAATAAATTTTTGTTTTTGTTTTTTTTTTTGTTTGTTTTTTGTTTTTGTTTTTTTAACTACAAAGGAGCTGTACTGCACTGCAGCTAGATCACAGGAATAAAGCCAATCTGAGAGACTGGTCAAAACACTGTATGAAACGGAAAAGAATTAACACTACACTTGCTCCAGTTAATAGACAAACAGAATAAACCTCTCTTAGTTAGTCTTTTGTGCTTATTTTAGTTTGAATTTCCTGAAAAGCCTCCCCAACCCAATACTCAAAGAATTACTGAGAACAAGGCAAAACACAACAAACAAACAAAAAGGATTACTCACTTTTGCATCCACTTCAGGATCATCAAAGAACCCTTCTGGCAATGCTTCTGCAGTATTTTCTTTCCTGAATATTAAAATACTGACTGTTATTTTGTGCCAATGTTTTATCGATCCAAATTTTAATTCCACAGACAAAGCAACAAGAACAGACATCCATGATAGTTTAAATGAGGAGCAAGTAAGAGCCTATTACTTCCCCACATGCAGCAGCAGTTTGACACAAATCACAACAAAACCTGTCTGCCTAGAGAGATAATAGAGCTAGGCCAAAATTAAAAGGAAACTAAAAAGGTTGTAGACCCATATTCAGAATTCCAACAGCTCTACCACTACTTTAGATTCCTATTTTGAAAGCCTTAGCCAGTGTTTACAACAAGGTAATTTACTATAAACAGAGGCGTCAAACATATGGCCTACAGGCAGGCTCAGCCCGCAGAGCCACTCTATCTGGCCAACCA